TTAGCAAAAGCATTCCTGTCACGACGGTCTTATCCGATTAAATGTGGCCGTTCATATATATTTATTTTCATAAATCCCCTGCAAAAGTCAATTTTCCCTTACTAAAGTAGGGCAAAAAAGAGGCATTTTAAGAGGTGACACTAACAGGTTTTTTAAAAAAAGTAAATACGGTGTTTTTTTTGACGTGAGAGATATTTCTATATTGCTACTGAGATGGTAGGAAACTATCGGCGTTTCAGACAACAGGGTTTTCCTTCAGCCAATATTCACGTTTACAGTCTTGGTTGTGGGTAGGTGGCAGTGGGCGGGGGTCGTCTGAGATGATGAACTCACCGCGGTGCAATCAGTAAGTAATGAGGAAGTAATGAGTCTCATGTTGTAACGTTATTTCTTTTCGTGAACGCATTCCAAAACGTCACATTTGGGTTTGCGAGCTGAAGTGGAATGAATGTTCTCATTGTCTGGACATCCCTAGCTCGACATATAGTAAGTTTTAAATGTTATACAGCAATGTTATTTAGTGTGTAGAGCATGTATAATGTGATGCATTGATGTAATGTAAAACACATTATATGGGATAACGTTTTATGGATACAGTCGCGTGCTGCCTTTTCGAACGTCGTTCTATGTTTAGCAGATACTTTTTTTTAAGAGCTTGAAGTTTTAGCTTGCTACCTTTTAAAAAGAGCTTTTCCAACACTGTGCATGTGTCAGTGGTCTCTTTAGCAGGGGTGGGGAACCTTTTTTTCTGCCAAGGGCCATTTGGATATTTATAACATCATTCGCGGGCCATACAAAATTATCAACTTAAAAATTAGCCTGTTATATTTGGTCAAACATTTCAAGTTTCATTTATTAGGTATAGCCCTGTGAGCCATGCGGCTCTTGAGTCGGGTGCAACCGCAACAAACAAAATATGAACAGAGAACATCTTAAAGCGACGACGCGCAACAGAAACATCGCGGCCTCCTCCATGCCATCGTGGCCCTCTCCCCGCCATAGCGGCCTCCTCCCCGCCATCGTGGCCTCCTCCCCGTCATCGCGGCCTCCTCCATGCCATCACGGCCTCCTCCATGCCATCGTGGCCTCCTTTTCTCCATCGCGGCCTCCTCCCCGTCATCGCGGCCTCCTCCATGCCATCACGGCCTCCTCCATGCCATCGTGGCCTCCTTTTCTCCATCGCGGCCTCCTCCACGTCATCGCGGCCTCCTCCACGCAATCGCGGCCTCCTCCCCGTCATCGCGGCCTCCTCCACGCCATCACGGCCTCCTCCCCGCCAATGTGATGGCTGGAACTGTTTCTCTTTGGTGAGGCGTGTGATGTTAGCTCGTATTGATGATGTTGCTGCTTTTGCAGGTATGCTCCTAGATTGATTGAATTTCGAGTCCCGCCTGCGGTTGCCTTGGCAGGGCCACAGACCAAATGATTTTGCGGGCCTTATACGGCCCGCGGGCTGGACGTTGCCCACCCCTGCTATAAAGCGACATCTGCACCAGTTTGAAATATGCAGGATGGCCTGCCTACGATCCACCCTGGTTGTAAGCTGCGTTGGCTGGGTTACATAGCCCGCTTGCCTAGCGACCGCATGCCCAAGCAGCTTCTGTTTAGTCAGATAGAGGGGCTACATGCGAGAGAAGAGATGGAGGGATGTGGTACATAATAATGTTGGGAGCTGATTGGATTTCCATTGGCTGGCAGCAGCGGTGTCAAGATCGGCCTTTGTGGTGGAATCTTGTGAAGGACGCAACGGGGCAGTTGGAGACAGTCACCCTTCAGCAACAATGAAGGGCAGAGGAGCGACGCTCACAAAAACGAGCCGAGCACTGGGCGGCTATAACGCAGCAAGTTAGCACAGTGGGGAGCACAGTTGGTGCATCTTCCAGTCATCTCAGTCAGTCACACGATAACACCTGGGCCTGTCCCGTGATCTCCTGCGAGTGAATCGTTGACACTTTGCGTGTTCTCAATGTGCATCCAGCCTCACGCAAGCGCTATGGATACATCACCGACACTTTCTAGCGAATGGCGGTTGTTGTTGTTGCAAGGTTAGCCAGTGAAATCGCGATATTTATTTATAGATATTGGAATTATACATGAGCTCATATACACACATTGCATTTTTGTAAAAAAAATACAAACATTTAAAGTATTAAGCCCATCTATTGTCACAGATTCAAAAAAGGAAAATTAGTTACAAAAAAACTACGTTAGGATAAGGATTGGGTTACAGGTCTGTTGTAACACAAATATAAGAAAAAGAGGACATTATTTGCAAAATCTGTGTTAGCAGGCTCAGAGGTTTTAAAATTCTGAGTTATAGGTCCCCACCCTGGGACCCATAACTCATCCCCCCACCCATTGTACCTCCTCGGTACAAAACAAATCACACCACAATTGGTTTCCTATGACATTATTCTGCACCGTTATGAGGAACTGATAACGTTACAATTATTAGAGGTAGAGAAATCCTCCTCAACCCTGGCCCATGAGAAACACTGCTGGGCAATAGTTCCCTCGAATAATCTAAGAAAATGTATTTATACTGCAGGAGGGATCCGATGAGCTATGAAATTATTTTCATAGATGTCCAGTAAGGCACGGGGTAAGAACGTTAGAACAAACAATACAAAAACATGATAGTAGTGCAAAGTACAATGAAGTTAAACAATGATAATAGGTTTTTCCCCTTTTCATCTGGCAACAAAACAGGTATTAAGATGTTAAAACACCAAACTGAAACCTTTTACAAGGAATCATGTCTGCATTAACCACAATGCTTGTGGTCAGAATGTAAACAAAAAAACACTATGATAATATATGCATTGTTCTTGATACTGATTGGTGCACACCAGAGGCAGCTTTCTTTTGAGCCTCGTCTCAAACGGTGTTCGACCAGAGGACGCCAAAAGGCGTACAGCCCAAAGACAATGCACTATCAGAGTAATGAGGGCTCGTTTTGAAACTAGGCTCATAAGAAAGCTGTCTCTGGTGTGGATCAATCAGTTTCAAAGACAATGCATCATATTATCAGAGTATGTTTTTTGTTTGCATTCTGACCACAGGTATTGTGGTTAATGCAGACATGATTCCTTGTAAAAGGTTTCAGTTTGGAGTTTTAACATCTTTACACCTGTTTTGTTGCCAGATTAAATGCGAAAAACCTATTATCATATTTTGGTACTGGCAAAAGAGGTCCCATGATGACGTTCAACAAATCACTCAAACAAATACGAAAAGGAAATGTAAGGCAACAATATTCTAATTATTAAAAAGTACAGTACATCAGTAATGATTATATATTTATAGGTGAATACTGTAAAACCAACACAAGTTCATTTGAAGACAAGAACAGGTTTGTCATTCAAATGTATTACAGAACTCGGTACGATTATGTTTAACAGATTAAGAATTTGAATCAGATGTTGTTTAACAGTTGAAAAATCTACCATATTGTGATTATACGAAATGAACAAGAATTAGTCACAAATGCATGAAAAGTTATAATCTGTTGAAATATTCGCTAGTTAGAAAATGCATGCCACCTGGACGTGTGCATGGCAATGAGTCGGAGGTCGCTCCATGTGGTAAGGAAATGCCGAATTTTGGAAATTGATTAAGACTATGGATCAACATCCACATTAGATGTTACTCTTGGTCATTCCACTGACAGGTATGTGAAGCTGTGTTCTGCAATATATGACATTTTTGTTAAACAAACACTTTATAGACTATATTAAGTGGAAATGTAAGTACTGTATTGGCTATTTGATGCTTAAACATTTGTATGATCAGGTCGCCTTGTGTGGCCACTGTAGCCCTACAGTTCACATATGACTAAATATTAAGTCAGGAATTACGCGGTCAAAATGATATTGGTGTCTATAGTTTAATTTGTGTCAAGTGCATAGAACATTTGAATTCCTCTCAGTTGATTCTGAGAAGAAAAAAAGTGACTTGTTTAAAAACCAGTGGTCTGGGAAATGGTCTGATTACGTACGGTGCGAAAGAAGTTCAACATACAGTGCATTATCTTATTGAGTTCCGGGATCGTCGGATGGGGGAGGATATCTCTACATGTAGGAATTGTAACGTTATCAGTTCATAATAACGGTGCAGGATGATAATACATGCAACCAGGTGTGATGTAATTTGTGATGTAATGGCAATGCACAATGAGTGGGGGGAGGAGCCTGAGATATTCGGGTCCCAGGCCAGGGCCCCATAATTCGGAATTGCCAAACTCTTGAGTCCTGCGTGAAAGACCCCATAACGTTATCTCAACGTGATTTGGCACGAATTTGTTGTTGGGCTTAGGCCACGTAGTCATACTGTCATAAAACTACTTCCTGCCCAGTGACGGATTAAGCGAGTGCGGGGCCTGTAGCATATTTTATAAAGCGGCCCTTAAATAAATTAAACACACAAATATGAAAACACGTAAATGTTTCTTTGCATAGTAAAGTAATTGTATTTTTTAATTTGCTATACAGCCAGATAATACGACAAATCGCTAACCTTAAACACCCAGTCGTTCATAACAGTTGAAGGCGGTATAGTACTATAGTAATAGAGCAAGTGCAGAATCACTGAACCGGAAATGATAGCTTGAAAGCGTTTAGCGCGGGGCCCGTAGCATATGTAGCGACGTTTGCTGCTCGGATAATCCGGCACTGTTCGTGGCCTCGACCAACAAAAATGGTTCATTGCATTGGCTATGCAAACCTATGTTCTCAGTTATCAATCATAATGTTTTTTTATTGAGGCAATGCACGGGCCCGTCACATCACGTTGCGACGCACGTACACACACAGTCAACATAAGCTAAACCGGTTATAGAAAAGCAGGGGATAGCAAGATGGGTAACGGACTTGCAGACAGGGTTACCACCGAAAGGCGGTGGTATCCATCGTGATTTGTAACAACAACACCAGCAACAACACGCAGTGACATAACACGCTGAAGCTCACACTGCCGCCCGCCTGTACGTCGCCGCCTTGCAGGAACTTCCATTGCCCAGCTGAGTGCCACTGACCCCGACGACGACCCACTGGCGTACGCGATCACGGGAGAAGACGGAAACTTCTTCTTCCGCGTGAACAGCTACACGGGGGTTGTCACCGTCAAACACGCCCTTGACAGAGAGGTAATGGAACGGGCTTCGTCACATTCGGGCGCTTCTGGCCCGGTGGCTACCGCGGCGGGTCGCAATTTCTTGCCGTGCGTTTTCAGATATAAATGGCAGGGTGCTGAAAACGCCGTGAGTTTGGTGCCGAGGGAGCTTTGTCGGTGGCCTCCTGCTGACAGAGGGAGCAGATGAGATGGCCTGCTGTGGCCACGAGGCTTGTTGGCGGTGGTAGAACGCGGGTTTAAACAAAGCACCTGCAGAACAACAATTTCTGCGTAAAAAAAAAACCCAAATCAACGGCCCCAACCAGAGTGTGTCTTCTGCACGATGACACAAATGCGCTTACGCAGGATGTACTGCAATTGGCTTAGATGCTGCGGCTCGCGGGATGTTGCACTGCACTCGAGCGGTGAGATCGTACACTGGACAAAAATCACCCATCAGCAAAGTGCCCATAATGGCATTGTGGATCGTTCATAGATATTAATTGGATCGATGCCGCCCAAGTCGATCCATAAGAAACATCAACACTAACCGGGCTGATCATAATTTGCGGGTTAATCGATGTGTTGATTCATTGCCCATCGATCGAGTCATGATGTGACATGCCCCCGTCATTTGATTGGCTCATATCAGCGCGATCCTCGTGCCCTCCCTGCAACAGTGATGACAACATGACGACAAGAGTGGCTTTTCTCAATGGATGGGTGTTAGTCGCGTGATCTGTGTGCAGTCTTAATAGGGAAACTTCGTCTGTTGACTTACTACAATGCCGTGATGGTTATCCTCGTTTGGTCTTGAAAATGAGGGTTTTTCTTCCTATTTATTTATTTTAGTTATAGACGTAAGGTCAAGCTAATAACAGTGACATACAAAAACATTTACGGCATAAAAAATAAAGGATATTAGTCCAACAATATCTGCATCACCTTCAATCATTTCACATTTTTCATATATTGCCTTTTGAAGTCGTTGATTACAATTACCGTATAACTTGTACGCCTTCATTTTTTTTACAGACACGGGAAGAAATATTTGTGATTTTCACTGTCACGGATTTGCAGTCGGTAAGTTCGCTCGCTGAAAATGTCTTCCCTTCCCCGTGGCTCGCCTCGACGTCATTACAATTCTCTATGAGCAGCTCTTTGATGAAGCACAGTAAATGTTTTGCCCTTTGCTGGTTGCCTCCAGCTCTTGTAAGCTGCCGAATACATTTGAACGCAACAGTTACTATCTCTCAATTAACTAGCCTTTTGCCTGTCCAGGGACGGGTGGATTTCAGTCAATCTGAAACTTGCAAGCGAAAATCAGACCACGACGTGATATTCATTGCATCAATTCGTGTGCAATTTGGAAGGCCGCGGTGACGCAGACTTATTTCATATTAATGTTATAATCACTCGTTCATCATGACGTCCTCTTTACTTTGATGTCTCAATAGCGTGACAGAGATCACGTGACGTGAGGGTTCTGCCTTTGTCGTGAGGGTTGTCAGTTGACGATGAGGAGGGGGGAGGAGGCGCCTCGCCCCCACCATGTGGAGTGACGTCACCCGCTAATTATTATTAATGGGGGGGGGTGTCCATTTGGAAGACGTAACCTCTTCATGATTATTAATGAGGGGGGAAGTTTGATGAGGAGTGACGTCACTTGCTCATGATTATTAATGAGGGGGGTGCTACATGTGGAGTGACGTCACCCGCACATGATTATTTATAAGGGGGAGGGGGATCCATGTGGAGGACGTCACGTGTTCATGATTATTAATGAGATGGGGGGGGGTCCATGTGGAGCACGTCACCTGGTCATTAATTATTAATGAGTGGGGCTGGCCGACGTGGAGTGACGTCACGCGTGGGACACACAGCCATTCTTGGCTCATTATAGTAGTTAATTACAAGTCATAGATCTTCTATAATACAGTTTTTTTTTGGGTTCGATCGCGTAAATATAAATGTGTCGTTAAACACGCCACCACCCGACACAGACATTTAATAAGGTTTGTCACATAAACAGAACATGCCAATTCGTTACAAGTACAGCACATCGGTGTGTTGGAGAGTAAATCCACAACATTTACAATATGATTACATGTGTAATGACAGGGTGACACCTGTCGGCCTGAAGGGGTTATTGCGGTTAAAGGGGTATTGCATAATGCCTTATTATAAGGGGGGCGTATCTAGGGTAAAGGTGAGAGGCGGAGTTAGTCCAGAGCCTCCGGGAACCTGCTTGAAGGTTCTGGAAGGGGGCGTGGCCAGAGGCGGGGCTTGGCCGTGCCGGGGCGCCTATAAGGGGGGCCGAACCAGAGGTTCGGGTGCTGTTGCGGGTGCTGGGTCCTGGCTGCATCGCTGCTCATCGTCACCTCTTCGTCTCTGACCACGTGGCTGATCTTCTGCAATGCCCTCTCCGTCGCCGTCGCTGCGTTAGTCGGACAGCTAGCGTAGCGTATGCCGGAGATGGGCTGTGTGTTAGGATCGCCAATGTGTAGCTGCGTCACGCAATGTATCGCCCCGTATGCTCTTAATAAACAAGAAGGCTTCTACTCGACATGTTTCGGAAGTCGCTCATTACACATGTAAGCCTTACTAATTGGCTGTGTCGGGTGGTGGCGGGTTAAACGACACGTTTATATTTATGCGATCTAACCCCAAAAACCTTAATTATTGATGATATTAAACTAGATTCGAAGCTTTCGTGACTGCAGGCATTACTCTTTGGTTTTCTCGGTAAAGTCACGAAACGAAAGCCTAAGTAATCGATCTTGTAATTAATAAACCCAGCAAATAAGTAATAAACAAGCCAGACACAATAAATATATCTCTCAATACCAACAGAAATAACAAAATAAATATTACTCTGTAAATATGTACATGTACACACCTTAATCGATCCATTGCTGGATGAGGGTCTCCCCACACCATGCATATTATTAGACCATACTTTTCCACACTATAGCCAGTGTGGATTAGTGAAGGTGTGGAGCATATACATGAGAGCATAATGCAGCACAATGGAGTTTACTTCACTGCCCTCTACTACCCTCAGCCCACATCAAATGTTTGATGCATTGTGGTGGTCACCGATCTAAACTACGGTGGCGAGATGTTAACTACCTCCCCTGGTGTGCAGGAGGTTGTGGGTTCTATCCCGTCCCTGATGCCTGTATATTCGGAGTTTGCATGTTCTCCCCGTGGTAGCATAGGTATTTCTCAAGGTCTTCCAGTTTTTTCCCGCCATACGGTATTTAGAATCAACATGCGTTTAGAGTATTTGGCTGCTACTATAAATTTCCACGTGTTGAGCCACTTCGTTGAGCTATCATTTGTGGCCAGGTCGCTTCTGAAAAAGTGCTACAAAAGTCAGTTAATGGTAGTAGTAAGCAGTATACAGGCTCAAATCCGTTTAACTCCCCAGATCTGATAAGGTCCGGAGCATTCCAGGTCATGTGGGCATAGGCAAATGCCAATACTGTACATTTACAAAAGAGTCAGAAATACGTTTGCAGGGTTTTTATTTTATTTATTACATATAATATACCCATATATACATTCATATTAGCGCTTTCCAGGATATCAGTCATTGAATCAATGTTTCATAAACCGCACTGTTTATACATTTTGTGTGTATACATAAACACACTGCATTTGGAAGTCACACAGGTGGACATCGAAAACCATGTTTGCAATAACAAGTTCAGCACGTGTGCAGAAGATAAGGCCGGCCAGAATTGGCTGGAAAGTAGCATTTAGCCATGCCGTGTCCGGGTTAATTTCGCGAGCTGTGGGGCGATTGGACGTTTGAGTGACTTGTGCCGTCAAATGGTGACAGCGCAGCCCTTCATTTCACTGTGACACGACAGGGTCATCAGATGAGACGTGTTTACAAGAGGGCCCGGCATGCCAGGAATAGCAACATGCATCGCACATCAGACTTGTGTCTGGACAGAATTGAGTTAGCGGCCCAATAAGAGTTGTTCCTAATGTGGAACATGGCAGCAGATGCTGTTGGAGCAGGTCGTGGTGGGGCACAGGAGGGCACTGGCCTTGGTGTGGGTGTCGGTGGGTAGGGTGACCGTGCACCGGCTGATTAACATTGTTTTTTTCGGTTCTCAAGTTTCTTCAGTGGTGCCTGTGTCTGAGCTTTCTGTTCTGCACCAGGTCTACAATTGAGATGCTAAAAATATACAGACGTGCACTGCTGCCCGGCCATCCCATGCGCCACAGGCAGCACAGGAGCTCATAATTGCCACGTGACTGCTTTGTGACCAAAGTTGATGCTTTGTACACCAAAGGTGTGAATGTCGTTGTCCAAATAGATATGTCAAATGGGTGACTTGAATCGCCTCGTGTTTGTTGCCCCAAAACATACATAGTTTATTTCTTAAATTTGTGTAAACTGGCATTCGGAAGGTTTGACATTTCTAGGAAATCAAGTCACTGGATGGTGCCGTTTATTGTTGCGAGGTACAATGCTTAATTTCGTGTCAACTGCTCCCAATCAATAACTCTACAAAATTATGTCGGATCCTCTTAATTGTATTGGATATCCGTTCGTATGTGATATACATGCTTTGATTTGCATGAAATACTTGATTTTTTTCATTTTTTGCAAACTATATAAGGCAAAGGTGCAGCCCTGCAATGATATACTCACACCATTGCTGCCGGAAGGGCCTCCTATACAGGAAATAGAGGTCCCCTCGAAAGTATATTTTGCCTATTCGTTCACGTTGGCCAGACACCTTGGAAGGGGTGGGGAGTACCTTCGCTTCACCCCACCACACGCGCCCTGCCGATCGACTAACTTTGGCGGAGCCATTTATACTGCTCGGTAGACAGAGGCAGGGGAGGGGAGTTCGGAAACTTGCAGGAATCTTTCAACTGCCGTGCCAGGAGATCGAACTGGCAACCTCTGGATTGTGTGTCTAGGGAGATAACCATGGCACCACGGTAGCAAACGCTATGGTAATGCTCACTCTCCATTAGTATTGCGGTCAGTGAAAAAATAGATACTGTACCGCACATTTGTTGACTGTGTATATAGCATTGGTACACAGAGCAATCACGCTTATAATTGCAGACATTGGGGAGCTGCTGGTGTTTCAGAGCTCTGTGTTAGGGTCCCACTAAGCTGGCTTTAAAATGCCAGCCGAATGCTTCTTTAGAGCTCCGCCAATTCATCACCAACCTGTCGGTCCTAATCAGGAGTTCCCTATCACACTGTGCACTCACTACAGCCATTACCAAGCTCTGGATGAATGTCCAGCACTCAGGTTAAATGTGGAACAGCGGTAATTAATTCTCTCCAAACACCCACCCACCCCTCGCGCCGCGGGGTTAGATTTAGTGGAGGTGTCCGTGATCGAGGCGGCGCCCGGGCGATTGATGCTCGACAGTCCGGGCTGCAACGCAGCCGTTGCGGAGCGGCAGATGCGCGTGTGTGTGGGCATTGTAACCTTTCCCTTAATGATCACCTGGAAAGTCGACAGATGCGTTTAGTTTGTTTAAACATTGATCCCCCCCCCCACCCTCCCCCAGCTTTCGGAGAGCGCAAGGTGAAAAAAGCTAACTGCACTAACGGGCAATTAAACAGCTAATTGAGGAGTAAGCAGAATTGATCAAGACAAATTGAGCACATTTTGATGGTGGCACTTTCTCTTGCGTTGTATGTGGCGTGTGCTCGCAATGCTGTATCCACAAATGAAATTAGTATACATGTTTTTTGCATGTTCTGTTTACTTGTAACGGAAACAAATGATGTGCTGTACGATAAAGGTATTGGGGAACAATGTGATGTGTGAATAACGATCCCACATCCGTCCCACATTTTTTGAGTCTCGAAAAATAAATAAAACAGATGACAAGAAATGAAATATCCTTAGTTTTTTCGGTAAAGTCACGTTGAAGGGAAACAACAAAATAATAAAATATATATGTTTTATATATATTTTTATTATTATATTTTTATTATTATATATTTTATTATTTTGTTGTTTCCCTTCAACGTGACTTTACCGAAAAAACTAAGAATATGAATTACTGCAGTCACGAAAGCTTTAAATCAAAAAGAAATGAAATGTGAACACATCATCTGGTGCCGATGCTCCTGTGTTGGCAGCGGTGCGCGAGCACAATTCACGCAAAAAACCCAACACGCTCGTTAGTAACAATGTGACCTAAACAGACAAAAAGTAAATATATCATAGGTGGCATTATGGGCATTGTTCCTTCGTGTTATGATATAGAATTTAACCAACATTGTTTTGGTTAATTGTCAAGTGAGTTGCCACAGATGCCAGAACTGTGCTCTATGTGGGCGTGCTCCCGTTTCAGAGGTACTCTGTGGCACATGAAGCTTGGGAGATATGTTTAACATGATTGTTGACGTAACTCAAATTGCTTCGTTGACAAATTCCTCGAAATAGCTCAGCTGGTGTCACGGTGGTTTACACCAACATTATCCATAAGAGGAGGAATTTTCCACAATTCTGGCTGTCACCTGATGAGGCTGGTTGTAATTGCTGGCGAAATAGCGTACTTGAATTTGTAAATGTTGTTGGTTTAATCCCCAACACTTCGGTGTGCTGAACTAGCAAATAAGTGGCACGTTTTGTTGACGTGAAAAACCTTCTAATTGTGTCGGGTGGTGGAGGGTTTAACAACACTTATATTTACGCGATCTAACAAAAAAATATTAAGGGCTTACGTTTGGTTTCGGAACTCGTTTGTGTTCAGCAAAGTGAGCTGCCATTAAAATACAGAAGCTAAATGATTCCACTTTTTGTTTGATCACTGAGAAAACATCAGACCGCAATACGATGCCACCATGAAATGTCCGACACTCTGGATGACACCGCTGGCGGCAGTTGCATGCTGGGAGCTCCGCCTCACGCGGAGCAACGCTCCTTTGATTTCAGAAAAATAAATAAAAAGTCACTCAGTGCAGGACATTTATCCTTTAGTAAAACATTGACTAGATATAAATATTCATGTCTGCTCTGCTAGATCTTAGAGTGAATCACGAAACAAATAAAACTGTTGGTTGTTGTCAGTCTGCCTCTTGATTGACTTAGGCATTGAATGTTAAACAACAAGAAAAACTTGTCTTTTTAGCAAGCGGGATTGTGTTCGGTTGTTAATTGTATTTGTTGTTTATTCATGGGTTTTGCCTCTTTCACTCACATTATTTAAAATACTTCATCAGTAGCTGTTTTCTTTTTTCAATTTACTACAGCATTTGCAATTTCTTCATTATATTCCATCTTATAAAATAAGATATTTAAAATAAATCCTCATTGCATAGTCTGACATGCGTAATTACGAGCTTCTTGTGTGCATTTGGAAAATACAATTAATACAACAGTAGTATGCCAGCATACTATATGTTTATTATTTTTTAATTTATTTGGATTTACTCAGGAAAGCCTCACTCAGTCTCAAGATTATTTTTCAGGAGAGTCTGGCCACGTCTTTTGCACAGTAGGGGACGATGTTTCTGCGTGTAATCGCAACTCACTAGTTCCCAGGTAATTTTTTTTCAGCATACCGAGTTACATTGTGTGTTTTAATTTAGCGATGGGAGGAAACCAGAGGAACCTCATTGCAGAACAGGAGGAGAACATACAAGGTCTAGACTCTCCCAAAACAAAGACAAAGATCCCCTGCATCGCTTGTAACAGACTTTTGGGGCAAGTGCTGTAGCATCAACGAAGGCCAGAGGGGGTGGGTGGCCAGCACCTACACCCGACCACCTTTGTCTCCCTCGTGGTGATGTTTATACAACGCACTAGGTACTCAATTGCGGCTGAGTCGACCTAGGGGATGCCCAGGACCAGTTCAGATAATCGTCACTGGTGTTAGCCGTGAATGGAAATAAAACTCGGGTTGCTGGGTTCGTTGCGCAGCATGCTTACTGCTACACTTCCGCTCCCCACACAATCACTCACGCACTCAGTCACACTGAATGCAGAACAGAGAGATAGCAAACGCCACATAGAATGGTGCTTGAGTTATGAACAGAACTCAGGCCCTTCTTACTATGAGGCAAAAATATTACCACTGCTATAACCTTCCACCCCGCCATCCACATTCAGTTGCTTAGGCATTTAGAGCACAGAAACTTCCCCAAGCTCTGAATGGCTTTGGCTGTTGGTCATCATCGTCGTCGTCGGCCATGGTCAATCCACCGCTGGATGAAGGTCTCCCCAAACTGCCGCCACCTCACGATGCTTCAATCCAACAATTCACTCTGTATCGCAGTTGGAAAATGTAATTTGTAATTTCACTGAAATGTAATTTCACCGCTGAGCTGTGGCTTTGCTCACGGTGCACGGATATCGGCGTGCGACGCGTTCCCATCGCCCCTTCCCCTCTCTGAATTTGGTGGGGAGCATTGGTGGGGACAGTTTGTTTATTGTTATCCTGTTTATCTCGCGATCGGCAGACGATTCCGGCAAGCGTCAAGATTCAGGTGACAGATGTCAATGACAACGCCCCGTCCTTCCAGGGCCTGCCCTACCTGCAGCAGCTCCCCGAGGTAACGCGGACGTGTGGTGGAAGAGGATGTGGGCACCTAATGCACAAGCACGAAAGAAAAAGACCCCCCCCCCAAAAAAAACTCCCCAGTGTTGTGACAGCGGGTATGCACGCCAAACAATTGAGTGTATAACTTCACACAGCCCAAAATATAAATTTGAATGTGGTTGATGCTTTAGCAATCTGTCAACTCTCAGAAAAAAAAAACAATCGATTGACTAAATTACTTACAAATGCATCTCAATTGGTTGCTCTCGACTGTGCACACGAAAGAAAAGGACACACATCCCTCCCTCTGCTCACCTTCTGACATTGACTCTGCAACAATAATCTTCGACCAACTGGCAAGTGGATAGTTACAGTACTATTAAGAGGCGGTGTATAATATGCATTGGCAGGAGTCTTCATTCCTCTCAGTTACAGAAGCAGCTGATCACGCTTTTTGCTCTGCCATTGTTAACTAGATGCACGGGCGGACTCAGAAAGACATCTTTAAAAAAAATTTAGCTCAAATAACACCGCTGCCTCTATTAATGGAATTAAATCAATTGAACCTTGCATCGTTCAGCGTGAGAGGAAAACAATGACAAACACCCGCCATGCAGCTTTGTTCACCGCTGCAGAGAAACACGATGTGGAGCGGTTAACGTAACGTTTGGAGAGGGGGCCGTGCTTATGAAACAGGAGGTGGTGGTTCTTGTAGGCAGGCAATTTTGTATTGGCATGCTGCCCCCCTCTTTAGACGTGCCAGGGAATCCTTAATGTTGGCGAGCGCACAGAAAGGATGAGCAGGTTTGATGTGGCTTCTGAAAGGGTGATGCACTTTTTGATATTAAGCCAAAAAACACATCATCGGGCGTCATCAGTGGTACTAAATAATGAAATAAATGCACGTGAATGTAAAAAAAAACTTAAAAAAAACTAAATGTGTTCGGTTGATTGCTACATGAAAAAAAAAACACAAGAAAAATTTAGAATAATGGCACCCGATAACTCAGAACTCACGAGTCGTTAAATAAGACGACAAGGGGCCTGTTCACGTTGGCTCCTTCCAGCTGAGACATCAATAAATGCAAATGCCCTCATTTTGAGACAAATTGAAATCGGCTTTTCCCCTCCCTTTCCTTTCCTCGCTGTCAATCACCCGGTCAGTGCAAGAACCCCGTGCAGCTGTCGACTGCTGATAAGATGCAGCTCCGACCAGGGCCTCCCGTGTGTGCGAGCACGGCTGCTCAGCTACAAAAGAACAAGGACCGCTCGCTGCTTTCCGGGGTTTACAATTGCAGCTGTTCCAGGTAGAGAGAGAGAGAGGAGAGAGTGAGAGCCATGTCAATGTAAATTGAGCAGCATTTTGGTGAGATGGCAAGGCCTGTGATTTTATCCCCCCTCCCGGGGTATAGTACAACCATAATGTGACAATTAAATGAAACAACATATGTTATTTTTGTGTGACGTGTAGAGCCCCTTTGAGCTCGTAACTAGAGCTCAGCGGACGCACCGACAATGGAAAGAAAAATGTTATGGCTTGGATTTCATTTCGCTCTACGGCTGTCTCTTAGAAGTGTACAGTGTACACTTGAGTGGTGAGTCCATTGTAGTATCAAACATTTGTTTTTGAGAATCTGCGAAGGAAAAGCCCCGACGTAATGTACTCACGGTTTTTAAAATAAACACTCACTATTAATATTCAGAAAGGCGTATGGTCGTAAATTGTCGGCCACCAACGCACAGCGAGGAATTTCCACGGTGTGCTACGGACTGCCGCTGCAGCCGAGAAGAGCGACGCTCGCGAGAGGCACCACGAAGGACAAGGAACAAAGAATGAAAAGGGGAGGGGGTGGGAAGCCGATTTCAATGCTCACGAGCGACATTGCGGTCGGAGAAAACGAACCCCAAAAAACACACAAATGACAATGATCACGCACGTCTGAACGCACAATGCCTGCATCGGGAGTGGGGAAAAGTGAAATTACAACAGTAAAATGACAATCAAAGTATATGTTGTCACGTTTTTGGGGGGTATTTTGAAGCTTTCGAGAGCTGGGCTCGTGCTCTTGTGAGCGCCCTTTCATTTGATAGACGCACTCCATCCACTAAAGCTACAGCCTCAAGATGTGTAAGTCTATACGTATATATATATATTTTATTTTTCTTCGAGAGTTTTGTAAAATTATTTATTTTCATTGAGTCGCAATGCACGATTTTTTAAATTTCGAGGTGAATGTAGAAATACATTTGATGTGAGGAATCTTTTTATTCTTTTGTATGGCGTTTGAAAAGAGCAACCGGCTACAATCTATATACATATTGTCCGTCCGTTGCCCACGCTCTGGATCTAATGCATTTGTTGTGCTTATAATATGGTTATAATTGTGGCTAGGGTTACAATTTGGCTGTTGTATGTTGAATCACTTTCGCGCTGTACGTAGCCAACTGTGCTAATCCGAGGTGCGGTGGTTATATTGAGGCTGTGGTTATATCCTGGTTGTTGTGGTTATAATAAGGAGGTCATGCTTGTGGTTATGGTTATAATGTGGGAAGTGGTAGCGTAGCGGTTAGCGCACTGCGAACCTGGCGATCCGAGTTGGATTCCCGCTCATGCCAACACCAGTGACAGCGAATATTTGAACTGGTCCTGGGCCTCCCCTAGGTGTACTCAGCCTCAAATGAGTACCTGCTGCGGTGTGTGAACATCACCACTAGGAAGGCAAAGGCGGCCGGGCGTGGTGCTGGCCACCCACCCCCTCGTGTGCCGTATCGCTAACAGCACTTGCCCTAACAGTCTGTTAAGGCTATGATGGGGATCTTTTCCTTGGGATAATGTGGCTATTATGGTTGTGGTTATGTAGTTGCAGATGTTATAGGATTGGAAGGATGCCCTGGTGGTCCCCCTCTTTACGAAGGGGGACCGCACAGACTGTAACAACTACAGTGGCATCTCACTCATCAGTTTGCCGGGAAAGGTCCTGGTAAGGATTATTCAACATCGCCTTGCCAGGCACGCTGAGGAGAGGCTTGGGGAGCCCCAATGTGGTTTCAGGAAAGGGCGGTCCTGCACAGATGGCATGTTTTCTGTCTGTCTGCTACAGCAGAGGTGTAGGCAATTCCAACAAGACCTACATCTCTGCTTTATTGACCTGGTCAAGGCCTACGATACCATCAGTAGGTCTGGGCTCTGGGTTGTTTTTCGTGTTTTCAGAGTCTCTGACCTGCTGCTCACGATCATTAAGGACCTTCATGATGGTGAGTGGCCGGGCGTCAGAGCCATTCCCTGTTCACTTTGGGGTGCGACAGGGATGTCCTCTGGCTCCCACATTATTTAACATCTATTTCGACCACGTAGTTTGTGAAGCCTTCAATAGCTGTACCGGGAGGAATTTCCATCTGGTACAGATACAATGGGAGGCTGATCAAAGCCCGTGTGGTCAAGGGATGGCTCCCTATTGGTCAACAACGTTATGTATGCCGATGATCTGGTAATTGCTGCTCACTCGGAGCACCTGCCTGGGTATTTTGTACCATCGGAAACTCCACCCCCACAACTCCCAATTGGTGATAGGGCAGTTATGGAGAGCAGAGAGTTTCCCATACCTGGGCAGTGTGCTCATGACCAGCTCCGGTTTGACAGCAGAGGTCTCACTCCGAATCAGTCTAGCGGCATTATATTTTCATCTGTTGCATAACGCGATGTGGAAGCTACCTGGTCTGTCGCTCCGCACTAAGCTTCAGGTCTTCTCGGCCACAGTCATTCCCTCCCTTCTCTACGCTTGCGAAACGTGGACCCCCCCTAATGGAAAATCTTCGCCGGTTAGAAACATTTAGGCTGGTCTGCCTACGATCCATCCTGGGTTTAACTAGGCTGGATTGTGTGAGGAGTCACATATCCTTGAAAGATCTGGACAAAATCCCGTCGGTGAGCTCCTCAGGCAGGCAAGGCTGCCTTGGCTGGGTCATGTAGCCCACATGCCCAGCCACCGAGTGCCTAAACAGCTTTTGTTAATCCTGATAGAGGGGGTTAAACGGGCACAGCCCGGGCTAGAGAAGAGATGGAGTGATGTAGCACAGGAGTATGTGGAGCTGAGTGGACTTGCCGATGACTGGTACCAGCGGTGTCAAGATCGGCCTCTGTGGAGGAGGTTCGTGAAGGACGCTACTGGGCACTTGGAGGCAGTCGCCCTCCAACAACAACGGAGGGGGGAGAAGCGACGCTCACAACAACGAGCGGAGCGCCGGGCGGCTAAAGCACAGCAAGTTGGCACAGTAGGGAGCACAGGTGATGCATCAGCCAGTCATCTCAGTTAGTTGACCCGTGGCATCTGGGTCTGCAGCGTGACCTCCTGCCAGCGGGCATTCGCCACTTCACGTGGCCTCAACGTGCACATAGCCTGGCACAAGCGTCGTGGTGATATCACTGCCACTTAGTGGCGAATGGCAGTTGTTATTGTTGTAGATGTTTAATGGTTTTGGTGATATTGTTGCTTCATTTGTGCTTGTAAAATAGTTATAGAGCTGTCTTGCTAATTTTTATACACGCGGTGTTTATGATATTGATATGAACAATAATATTGATGTTGATACGTCACGTTATTGTTGATGTTGGTATTGTTGTTGATCTTTCAAATCATTGTTGGTGTTGATGTTGTTGATGCTATATTATTGTTGTTGTTAATATTGTTAGTGTCATCAGTCGTTGCTGTTGTTGGTTGAAAGTAGGCCAGCATGTGTCATTGGGAAACAAAGAGCAAGAAATCCATATTGCTTGCAATCATATCCAGCACAAATGCGAGGACTGTGATAGTTGTATTTTTAATGGCATTTGGGATAGCTGAGTGGAGTCTGCCCCTTCCACGTGGTTGTTATGGGCAGTCATCAGTGAAGTGCGCCTGATGGTTTTCACCTCACCGCATTCGCAGTTTGGTGGGTCCTTGATCTGCCACGTATCGTTCGGACATGCTCTCAGCAACGCCCGAACAACACGTCGAGTAATTTCATTTAAAACGC